GGCCCAGGTCATGGTGAGGAGAACTATCCGTCAGGCAAAGAGGTCATGTTGGCATCAGTTCTGTGACACCATTGGAAGGGCGACACCTGTGGGAGAAGTGTGGGGGATGATTAAGAGGATGAGTGGGATCAGAAGGGAGTGGGATTATCCAGTGTTGACGAGTGGGGTGGATGTGGCAGTAACAGATGAGGAGAAAGTAGAGATGATGGCCAAAGCATTTGTCCAAGTGCATAGCTCCGCAAATCTGTCAGAGGAGGGGCAGAGGGGGAGAGAGAACACGAGAGAGGAGCATCCTGGAGTGCTGGAAAGGAGGGAGGATGTAAATGATGCGTTGAGTGCACCATTTACCAGGGCAGAGGTGAAAAGGGCAATAGGTAAGGGTGGGTTAACTTCACCTGGGAAAGATGAGGTGTGCTATGTTATGTTGTCCCATCTTAGTGATGAGGCACTGGATAAGGTATTGGTGTTCTACAACAGAGTGTGGGAGGAGGGGAAACTACCAGGCAGTAGGAAGGAGGCATTAGTGGTACCAATCCGGAAGCCCGGGAAGGATCCAACGAAGCCAACAAGCTATCGGCCAATAGCTTTAACATCACATATATGTAAGATTATGGAACGTATGATTACGGAGAGGCTAACTTACTTCCTGGAGAGCAGAGGGCTAGTAACGCCATATCAGAGTGGGTTCAGGAAGGGTAGGGGAACTATGGATCCAGTGCTCTGCTTAGAAGGAGAGGTCAGGAAGGCTCAGGTGAACAAGGAAACTGTTGTAGCTGTGTTTTTTGATGTGGAGAAGGCGTTTGATATGATGTGGAAGGAGGGGTTGTTAATCAAGCTTGATATTATGGGGGTAGGAGGAAGAATGTACAGGGCCCCGTGTAGCTCAGTTGGTAGAGCATGGCGCTTGCAACGCCAGGGTTGTGGGTTTGATTTCCACGGGGGGCCAGTATGAAAATGTATGCACTCACTAACTGTATGTTGCTCTGGATAAGAGTGTCTGCTAAAAATGTTTTTTTTTTTAAATAAAAATAAATGGATAAAGGACTTTCTGTTTGGAAGGTCTATCCAGGTGAGGGTGGGGAATTCTTTATCAGGCAGCTACTTGGTGGATAATGGTACACCGCAGGGGAGCGTGATTAGTCCTCTGTTGTTCTCAATCATGATCAAATATGTTTACTGTCAGGTACAGCCGGATATAGGGAGGTCGTTATTTGCAGATGATGGTGCCTTATGGAAGAGGGGAAGAAATGTGCCATACATAGTCAGGAAGGTACAGGAAGCAATTGATGAGGTAGAGCGGTGGGCATTAATGTGGGGATTCAGGTTCTCTGTAGAGAAAACTCAGACAGTGTTCTTTACCAGGTGGGAGATGAGGTATGCTTGAGGTTATATGGGAGAAACTTGGAGAGGGTGGGGGCCTTCAGGTTCCTTGGGGTATACTTTGATACTAGACTGACCCGGGAAGAACACATTGAGAGAGTGGTGGGAAAGTGTAAGAAGGTGCTAAATGTGATGCGCTGTCTGACAGGGAAGGAGTAGGGGGCTGGGCGTTCCTCATTGAAGACCATGTATGTTGCATTGATCCGATCTGTAATAGATTATGGAAGTATAGCATATGGTTCGGCATCCTGGACCTCACTGGAAAGGCTAGATGTCATACAGGGGCAAGGACTCAGAATATGTAGTGGGGCGTTTCGGACGTCCGCAGTGGCTGCATTACAGGTGGAGATGGGGGATATGCCGTTGCAGATTAGGAGACAGCAGCTGGCAATGAATTATTGGGTCAACCTACAAGGACATGGGGTGTCTCATCCTGCGAAAGGGATTTTACAGGCATGCTGGGAACATGAGCGAAGACCGAACACGAGCTTTGGTTGGGTGGCTAATACCCAGGCGAAGAAGATGGGACTGTATGGAAGGGAGTTTAGTCCAACGGTAGTTATTCCTGTAAATCCACCATGGCTACTCCCGCCTCCAGTAGTTGATCTAGAAGTGTTGGAGAGACTACAGAAAAATAGGGAGGGGGTTGATCCAGCTGATTTCTTTAAGAGACGTCAGGAAACTGTGTATCAGGATTTTGTGGCCATTTACATAGATGGTTCAAAAGATCCAACGACAGGACGTACTGGGTCAGCATTTGTAGTGCAGGAGTGTAGGGTGGAAGTCAGGAAACGTATTACAGATCATCTGGATGTATATACGGCGGAGCTGATGGCCATACTGTTGGCCTTGCAGTGGGTGAAGTTAAGCCAGATAGAATAGTTATTTGCTCTGACTCATGTGCAGTGTTAATGAGTCTCCAGTCCTTTAGCTCACGTAGCAGACAATACCTGCTTTATGAGGTGCTACAAACCCATGGCAAGATTAAACAGATGGGTATTCAGATAAGATTTACTTGGGTTCCTGCCCATGTGGGGGTGGAGGGGAATGAGGCTGTAGATGAACAGGCTAAACAAGCACTCAGCAGTGGGGATGTTGATGTTGAAGTGTCAATGAGCAAGGCAAAAAGACTGATATATACAGTGATGGTGTAGAGATGGCAGGAGCAGTGGAATATAAATAATAAGGGAAGTAATTTATTTCAGGTACAGAGGAAAGTCGGGGAGGGGAGGACGGCAGGAAGGGACAGAAGAGAGGAGGCTATTTTTTACAAGATTAAGGGTGGGACACAGCCAGTTGAATAAGACATTAAACGTGATAGGAAAGCATCCAACAGGAAAGTGTGATTATTGTCAGGAAATAGAGACTGTGGAGCATGTATTGCTACAGTGTGGGCAGTATCAGAGGGAAAGAGAGATGATGAGATTTAGTATGAGGGAGAAGGGGATACAGGAAATTAGTTTAAAGAGTATATTGAGCAGAACATCATTAGATATAGTCTCAAATATTTTTTTATATTTTTTAAGAGAAACGGGGTTGGTAGGTAGGATTTAGTTTCTCCCTGTCTCTGGCCCACATTCCAATACGGTAGATGGCGGTAATGCACCATAATGTTGGATGCCAACCGCCGATAAACCCCACTGAAGAAGAAGAAGAAGAAGAAGAAGAAGAAGAAGAAGACTAATCGGCGCATTGGGAGGAAGGGAAGATGGCGGAAGCGGATGATGAAGTGGAATCTGAATACAATGCCGGTAGAATAAAGGCAAATTGGAGTATTGTTCAAAAGAATGGAAAACGGAGCAAAGTAGGATACAGTGATGAGAATGACCGTTCGAATCTAGTAGGAGTACGGTTTGTTAATAAGGAGCAGCTGAGCAGAGTACCAATCTTGTGGTCCTCTGTAGCTCAATTGGTAGAGCATGGCGCTTGTAACGCCAGGGTAGTGGGTTCGATCCCCGGGACCACCCATACGTAAAAATGTATGCGCACATCATGTGCGGCACATGACTGTAAGTTGCTTTGGATAAAAGCGTCTGCTAAATGGCATATTATATTATATTATTGAAGAAACCATTTGAGTTATCCAAACTGGTGGAGAGAGTGCTGGGTAAAGTGAGGGATGTGAGGATCACGAGAGGCGGGCTTGTTTTGATTTATTGTGATTCTGCGGATCAGAAGGAACGTGCGTTGTCTTAATCAAATCAAATGTATTGGTCACATACACATGGTTAGCAGATGTTATTGCGAATGTAGCCAAATGCTTGTGCTTTTAGTTCCGACAGTGCATCAATATCAATCAAGTAATATCTAACAGTTCCACAACAAATATCTAATACACACAAATCTAAGTAAAGCCATGGAATGAGAATATATAAATATATGGATTAGCAATGTCATTGTCAGAGCGGCATAGGCTAAGATGCAATAGATAGTATAGAATACAGTATATACATATGAGATGGGTAATGCAAGATATGTAAACATTATTAAAGTGGCATTTTTAAAGTAATCGATTTGCTAAGTTTGAAGTGTTGTGTGTGTCTTTTCGGAACAGGGCACCCCTCAAGGGGGTTATATCTGGAGTTTCGTGGGAAGTTGATTTGGAAGAGATTAAAAATATTCCTGGAGTGATTGAAGCACGTCGGATGAATTGAGTGGTGAATGGGGAAAAAGTGAAGTTTATCTGTTCTTTTGTTTTTTGAAATGGAGTCTCTCCCTAATGATGTGCGGTTAGGGTATATTAACTACAGAGTTAGAGCATTTATCCCAAGACCAATGCAGTGTGAACATTGTAAAGCTTTTGGTCATGTATAAAGTGTTTGCAGAAGGGAGCAGCCGAGATGTACAAGATGTGGAAAATATCATATTAAGTGTTATAAAAGTGAAGAAAATATGACATGTTGTAATTGCGGTGGGAATCATGAAGCCACGTCTTCTGAATGCCTCACAAGGGTAAAGGAGAATGAGGTGGCCAAAGTCAGAGTTGTACAGAGCATTTCATATGCAGAAGCTGTGAAAAGGGTTGAGTGTTTGACTGTTGCAACAGAAGCTGGTAGAGCTTGTAACGCCAAGGTAGTGGGTTCGATCCCTGGGACCACCCATACACAAAAATGTATGCACGCATGACTGTAAGTCGCTTTGGATAAAAGCGTCTGCTAAATGGCATATTATTATTAAGAGTCCATGGTAGTGGCAGGCTGCAGGGGTTGTCTTGCACCAAGAGGATCCTGACATTTTAAAGGTTAAAAAGGTGGACTTTGTGGCCTTTATCACAATGGTGATAAATGGCACTGCCAGGGTGGAGAAAAGATCTAGGAAGATTGAAATCATTGTGATTCCGCAGAGCGGTTCCTGGGGCTGAAAGATTTCACAGCAAAGGAGTTACATGGAATATTAGCAAAAGCCGTACCACCTTCTCAGGTTCTAGAGCCTGAGAAGGGAGATATGGAAAACTAAAACAAGGAAGTGGGGTTTTTGTTTGTACTATTTTTGTTAGGGTGGATTGTTAGAATCACTATTAAGTAGGGATTTTTATTTTTATTTTTTTGGGTTTCAAACCGTCCAGTTGGTGGCGGCAATACAACTTTTGGATGTAGTCCGCCATAAAACCCACAGAAGAAGAAGAAGACTACCACAGGCCCGTTCGTCCAGGTCCGCCTTCTTTTAAAGTCAGGCCAGCTACGCGTGCTTGAGTAGAGAGAAGAACATTTTGTGAAGACCAGACGCACGAAATGGCATCAGCAGCCGGTAAGGATTGCGAAACCGTTGTAATTCGTCTACCCACCAGTTTATCAATTTCTAATTCAATATCAGGTTTTAGAAATGTAGGCAGTAGCTAAGTAACTATGTGCAGTGCGAACCATTTAGCTAACTAGCTACTAGAAGGCACATTACCGTTTGTATGGGGGGAGGGGTTCGTTTGCTAGCTTTTAATGCTAGCTAACTAACTAGGATGGCTACTGCATTTTGACATTACATTTTCAAAACACCGAATCTATGACTGTTGTTGAGGAGGTTGGGAGTTATTTTCCCATGAAACATGCATCTCATTCCGCTAGTTAACTAGCTCTAACTATCGTCCGATGGTTCTGTGCCGGTAGTTGGCTATCAAAGCTAATGCTAAACTAGTTAGCTAACTAGCTTTTTCGTTTGAATGACCTGCGGGCTAGCGTAGAACAGGCGGGCATTCGCTCAGCTAGTGAGTGTGGATACTGGAAAGAAGGCCGTTTTTTTAAATTGAGCTTTGTTTGCCAACTAGTAGTTAGCCTGGTGTTGGAGACTGCGTTTTACACACACAGTTAATAATACTTTTGACATGGTAAAGAATTAAAGAAGTTCATTATGCCATTCAATGATATCAGCATGAAACTATCCTCATGGTTATATTGTATTTTGCAGACTACAACGCTTATGGCCAGGCGGGAGGCCAACCGGGGTAAGTGTGTTCTTGCCCTGAAAAACGAATTTATATAATTGAACTGTTTATCGCATTGATAGTAGCCACAAACATTAGTCTGACTCCACAATTATTTTATTGACGAGTCAATGAAGATGGTGGGGGGTGGAGTAGAGCCCTGTATTTCCTAATTAAGGCTGTTTGTTTGTAGGTATGGCTCCTACGTGGCCCCGCCCTCTCAGGCCGGCTATGGACAAAACACACAGGTAGGCTGCCTTTGTTCTGACCAAAGCCCCTTTCCATTTATTAATTAATTTTTTTATTTAACCTTTATTTAACCAGGTAAGCCAGTTGAGAACAAGTTCTCATTTACAACTGCGACCTGGCCAAGATAAAGCAAAGCAGTGCGATTAAAAACAAGAGTTACATATGGGGTAAAACAAAACATAAAATCAAAAATACCACAGAAAATATATACAGTTTGTGCAAATGTAGCAAGTTATGGAGGTAAGGCAATAAATAGGCCATAGTGCAAAATAATTACAATTCGTATTAACACTGGAATGATAGATGTGCAAATAGAGATACTGGGGTGCAAATGAGCAAAATAAATAACAATATGGGGATGAGGTAGTTGAGTGGGCTAATTTCAGACGGGCTGTGTACAGGTGCAGTGATCGGTAAGGTGCTCTGACAACTGATGCTTAAAGTTAGTGAGGGAGATACGAGTCTCCAGCTTCAGAGATTTTTGCAATTCGTTCCAGTCATTGGCAGCAGAGAACTGGAAGGAATGGCGGCCAAAGGAGGTGTTGGCTTTGGGGATGACTAGTGAGATATACCCGCTGGAGTGCATACTACGGGTGGGTGTTGCTATGGTGACCAATGAGCTAAGATAAGGTGGAGATTTGCCTAGCAGTGATTTATAGATGGCCTGGAGCCAGTGGGTTTGGCGACGAATATGTAGTGAGGACCAGCCAACAAGAGCGTACAGGTCACAGGGGTGGGTAGTATATGGGGCTTTGGTGACAAAACGGATGGCACTGTGATAGACTACATCCAATTTGCTGAGTAGAGTGTTGGAGGCTATTTTGTTAATGACATCGCCAAAGTCAAGGATCGGTAGGATAGTCAGTTTTACGAGGGCATGTTTGGCAGCATGAGTGAAGGAGGCTTTGTTGCATAGCCCCTAGACTTTTAGGGTTCAATGATCTGAAAGGACTCGAATGAATACAATATGACGCTTCTCTCCTGAGTATGGAGGGCATAAACTCAAGTTTTTTTAATTTTCTTAAGAAACCACTGAACAGTAATGGTATTGGACCTTCGATAGATGACATCTGTGTTGTTTTTCAGCCGAGTTATGGCCAACCGCAGGGATATGGGTCATACAGCCAGCCGGCCGAGTCAACCTATCCCCAAGGCGGTAGCACCTCAAGCGGCTACGCTCAACAGGGTTACAGTCAGCAGCCACCAGCTGCAGGTGAGAACTTCTATTCACAGTTAAAAACACGGCCCACTAACTGAAACGCATTGTATTCCAAAGTTAAATACAACTTTTAATGTGTGAACCCAGCACTCATTGAAATGTACTGTTTTATGCCACTAGCCCCTAGTTTTCTAGTGGGACAGCTGGGGCTTGTGTATGCAGTTTAACAACTACTTTTTGTTTTCTCCTCTCAGCTGGTTACGCTGCCACTCCTGCTGCCCCTCAGGGTTACAGCCAGCCAACTCAGGGGTATGGAGCCGGAGGGTACGCTGCCGCCCCCGCTGCTGCTGCCGCCACCACTACCACCACCAGCAGCCAGGGCTCTTATGGGGTCCAGGGTGGATATGGAGCCCAGACTGCATACCAGGGATATGGGCAGCAGCCGGCCGCTGGAGCACCACCCAGGTATGTCTTTGAGCACTCAAGCTCCATTACCAGAACACTGGTTAATATAATAATATATGCCATTTGGCAGATGCTTTTATCCCAAGAAACGTAGTCATGCATGCATACACTTTTAGTATGTGTGGCCCCATCAGGAGTCAAACTTATGATCCTTGGCGGTGCATTGGTAGTAGTATCCCACCCATGTATTTACTAATCTGAGAAAGACGAGCTGCAATATGCCAGCTGGAGGTTTGATCCTATTTCTCATAATTGTGTCCTCATCTCCTGTCCCCACAGCTACAGCACCAGCAGCCAGCCACCCACCAGCAATGAGCAGAAGTCCTACTCCCAGCCGCCTCAGGGTGGTGGATACCAGAGCCAGCAGAGTGGCTACAGCCAACAGGGTGTCGGTTACCAGGCGCCACAGGCCCCTTCCCAGCAGCAGGCCCCACCTTCCAGCTATGCTCCCCCATCAGGAGGGTCCTACGGTCAGCCACCTTCCAGCCAGTATGGACAACAGGGTGGACCAGGAGGCAGCTATGGTCAGCAGGGTGAATATAAAACACCTAGCCAGTACAGTAAGTCTGCTTACTTATGGCATTGTATGATTTTATACTGGTCTATTCTGTCTTCATAGTTCTTACTTGTGGTGGGTCCTAACTGTCTGCTCTCTCCCCAGGCAACTACAGGCAGGATCAGTCCAACGGAGGGGGCTACTCAGGGCCAGAGTCGGGTGGATATAGGGGCCACGGTGAGGGCCGAGGCATGGGTGGGGGGGAGAGCCGGGGACGGGGCCGTGGGGGGTTTGACCGCGGCGGGATGATGCGTGGTGGTGGCGGCATGCGCGGTGGAATGAGCAGAGGAGGCATGGGGTAAGTGCTCGCCCGTCCTCTCACTTCATCAAACCTTTTCTCCTACAGGTGCAGGGTGAGGCCTGCACAGGGTTGAGAGCGGCACATCACCCCTCACTGAATAGGGCAGTGAGCCAAATTAAGCTCGGCAGAAAGACATGATACACATGATTTCTGCAATTGGAATTGAGTGGGAAGTTGAGACATTTTAAACTACACTGAACAAAAATATAAATGCTACATGTAAAGTGTTGGTCCCATGTTTCATTAGCTAATATAAAAGATCCCAGAAATGTTCCGTACGCACAAAAAGCTTATTTCTCTCAAATTGTGCACAAATTTGTTTACATCCGTTAGTGAGCATTTCTCCTTTGCCAAGATAATCCATCCACCTGATAGCTGTGGCATATCAAGAAGCTGATTAAACGGCATGATCATTACACAGGTGCACCTTGTGCTGGGGACAATAAAAGGCAATTCTTAAATGTGCAGTTTTGTCACACAACACAATGCCACGGATGTGTCAGGTTTTGAGGGAGCATGCAATTGGCATGCTGACTGCAGGAATGTGTATGGCGTCGTATGGGCGAGCGGTTTGCTGATGTCAACGTTGTGAACAGAGTGCCCCATGGTGGGGTTATGGTATGGGCAGGCATAAGCTACGGACAACGAACACAATTGCAATATATCGAGGGCAATTTGAATGCACAAAAATACTGTGACGAGATCCTGAGGCCCATTATTTTTTTTATTTTTTTTAAGTTATCTGTGACCAACAGATGCCTATCTATATTCCCAGTCATGTGAAATCCATAGATTATGGCCTAATGAATTTTTAAATGGACTGATTTCCTTATGAACTGTAACTCAGTAAAATCTTTGAAGTTGTTGCATGTTGTGTTTATATTTTTATTCAGTGATGACCACATCCTTTCAAATATTATGTGAAATCAGTCATCACCCAAGTAGATGTATGTGGTGCCACTGGTTGCTGCTCTCAGCCCTCCCACTGTATGGCCAAAGGTAAGAAGGTATCCACAAGCTAAAGACCATCAGCAAATATCTCCTCTTTGGCCTCCTAGTCCAGGGGTGTCAAACCCATTCCATGGAGGGCCGAGTGTCTGCTGGTTTAGTTTTTCCTCTCAGTTAACACCTAGACAACCAGGTGAGGGGAGTTCCTTCATAATCGGTGACCTTTAATTCCTCAATCGAGCACAAGGGAGGAGCGAAAATCTGCATACGCTCCGCCCTCCGCGGAATGAGTTTGAGAATTTTGTCAGTCAAATACCAATTTGGCTACCCAGAAGTAGGCTATGTTGAAATGTTTTTCCCCGTGCAAGTTATTTTCAATCACAGGAGCACACGAGCCAGAGTCAGTTGGGATAATAAGCGGGAGGATCAAGGAGCCAGTACATTTACAGCATGTTTATTCTACAAGATTATGCCAGTATGCCTTTTTGAATGAGGGCACTTCCAGTCACATAAATGAAAGGTCATGAAGGACTGCATTCTGAATAGGCTATTCAACCACATGTAATTCTAATGGGACTAGGTTTATTTTTTCAAATTCTGGAAATAATTTCTATAGGGGTCCTAAATAAATCCAAGCTAGATTTAGCAGTTTCTCATTTTGAAGGTGTTTTGTTTGTGTGCAGACTTTGGCAATACTCCTTTAAGTATGCAGTGCTAAAATTGTGTGAACTGTATATACACTTTGGGAACTTATAGCTCAACCTGCATACATAAAGTACAATTATGTATATAGCCATGTTAGGTTTTGATATTAGTCGATGGGAATGTCAATAACATTTTAGTGAACTGGTCTAAAGCCTGAGGTTGGGGGATTAAAAAAATAATAACTTGTTTAACAAAAGGTGAATGCATTGCTTTGTCACTTCAAGGCCATATATCTGTCTCTCTCTTTCTATCGCTGTCATTCTACCAGTGCGCTTATTGTACTGGTAAAATCAAAAGTTAATATCAGAGGCACATTTATCTTATGGTTTTCATTTTTAACATACTTGATGTTTAATTACCCCAATAATCACAAGTGCAATTCATTCACCTTTCTTACACACAGGTAAGAAACAAATAAGTGTCAAAATGGTATAACTTCAAATGTATTGCTGAAGTGCACTTTTCTTTAACATGCTTTGTCGCATTTATATGCTACAGGTAACAAAGTGAGATCCATGTAAACACACCAATACTTTTACAGTACCACTACTCAGTTCTGAGTCTGGGCCGGCAGCATTTTGAAAAGGGGACATAATCGGTGGTATCAACAAGAGGTGTCCAAAAATGTCCCCCCAAAAACCTATGTCATCAAGAAAAAAACTGTTTTTGAAAGCTAAATGTTTTTTCATGATTGGTTGCTTTTTTTTTTTTTTTTTACATTGTGTAATCAAATAATCTCCTTGTGTAAAACAATGTTTGGCTGACATTTTACTGGAAATGGCTGAATGTACCATACGAGTTCTTTGTAACACAATTGTCTCAGGTACAGCTCTGAATAGTAAAGGCTTCCCATGTGTCGGCAGAGCACTTCATGTCATACATCTTATGGCATTTTGTCGGGAAAGGGGGGGTTACTTTTTATAATGACCTCATCCTCTAAGCCTGAAGTTCATACAACCATAATTTGTTCAGAGTCCTTTTCAAATCTAACTATATCACTGGTCTTTAACTTGAGCTGCATCTGAAACAATTCAAATATATCCTGTTGTGTAAAAGTCAGGTGTTTTCTACCCCAGAGGTAATAAAGATTGACGCCACCCCATTATACAAAACATTGATACTCGTAGAAAGTTATGCCACTTCTGCGTTCATATATTGTATTCAGTGAGGGAACCCATAGATCAAACGTTGTATAGACCCCTACCCCTGTTTAAGATTCTATAGTTTTAAGATTCAAAGTGTCTTTTGTGGGGTTAATAGCTAAGTTAGTTTATTTTGGGCGTTTTATAAATAGGAGCTAGTCAACTGTGCCCAATATCCCCCATCCCTATGTGGTACAAAGTGGCTGTTAAAGGGAAATCGTCTTCATATCTCCGCTTATTCCCCCAGCATCGCTGGAGACAGAGGTGGCTTCAGTAAGCCTGGTGGTAAGTTTAATGACAATTACAAGACGATAATACACTAGACCACCTAACACATGTATACATTTTTATCTACTTGTCGTTAAGTATTTTCTAGTCAAAGGGGAAAACAAAGGAAATATATTGCAGGTTGTTGATTTGGGTTTTTCTCACACTGCTTTGAGGATATTTTCAAACTTTCAATATCAAGCGTCCACTTGATTACTAGTTTTAGAGTGTTCCCACTGATATATTTTTTGATATACAACCCCAAGCCAATGAAGCCATTAGGCTTTCCCCCACTTTTCTAAATATTTATTTCATTCATATGGTCTTTTGATATTTAACTTTCAAATTAGGTAAATTTTCAGCCTTTAGTGTTTTGGGTGTTCAGTTCTTTTGAAACCACTTTTTATATATTTGCCACAAATTGGGTTTGAAGAATCTAATTATAAGGTTGCATTACCATGGTTTTTTTTTTTTATGCAAAGGGGAATGCTCAGAGGAGCATGTGTGCCTGGGTAAAGTCAACCTGCAGCATGTGTGGGGTAGATCAGGCAAATGTGCATACTAACGTTGGGTCTCTTGTCTTCTCTCCTCTTTGTGGATGGGTAACAGGACCAGACTCAGACATGGGTAAGTTCAGCATGCCATGTATCAAACCCAGCAGCATTTGTGCATCAATTTGCAAATAGAATGTGTTTTTTTTAACAGGCTTTACTCTGTCCACAGGACGCCCAGAGGAGCAGGATGACTCTGAGAACAATACCATTTACATCACTGGCCTGACGGAGAATGCAACGCTGCCCGAAGTTGCTGACTTTTTCAAGCACAGTGGAATAATCAGGGTTGGTATTTGACTGATGCAGTTTGGAGATCTTTCCTAAATGTTATCGCACGCTTTTGAAAGGTATTGATGGATAAATTGGGTGATTTAACTGGTTTCCATCTTTCAGATCAACAAGCGCACAGGTCTGCCTGCTATCAACATCTACACAGACAAAGATTCGGGGAAACCAAAGGGTGATTGTACTCTATCATATGATGAGCCCCCATGCGCCAAAGCTGCAGTGGAGTGGTTTGATGGTGAGTCTTTTTTTTTTTTGGGGTACTAACCAAGGCCCTCTGATAGCCCCTTGATTAGATTGAATAGGGCTTCATGCATAACCTTGGCAGAGTTCTTTCAATTAATGTTGGTATTGAATATGCACCTCTCAACCTCTCTTCTCCTACCTAGGCAAAGACTTTCAGGGGAAGAAGCTAAAGGTGTCGATGGCTCGCCGTAAGCCCATGATGGGGATGATGCGAGGAGGCATGTCCATGAGGGGTGACCGGGGAGGCATGATGAACCGTGGAGGTATGTTCTGCCAAATCCTGTTCCACACATCTGGAATGGACATTTCCAACCTGCTCTAACTGTTTCACTTGTAGAATTTTAGGGTATCTTTAGGGATGAAAACTTGTCGCTTTTTGGCGATATTCGCCGTTTTGATCTCAAAATGGACCATCCATGTGAATCGTGCCTCTGGACTGAGCACAAAGTTACGTGTTGAACTTATTAGAAAAGTAGTAATTGATTAGTTTCTCAATTTATGAAAATAATGCATCAGTGATTCATATTTCCTGCAACTTTCGGAATAAGAAAGGCCTGTTTCTGTCCACCTGTGTGTTGTAGCCAGTTATCAAGCCTAAACAGTCATTTCTAAAGTCTTTCCCAAAAACCTTCCCAATGAAAGATTGACTGCAAAGTAGGCCTACCTGGCAGAAGATATGATGAGTTGTATCAATCGGGTGGGCAATTGCTTTACAAACTCTCCCATCACATGAAACACTGCTAGCCACCCTGGAAAAAATAACAGGGGAAATCCAAAACCAGGAAACTAAACCGAGAACGGAATTTGGCAAATAATCTTAAGATTCTCTAGTGCCCTATGTATTCCTGTCTGTGGAGACTTGAGATTATCATAACATTTCATGATAAACCATAAACCCAGACCAAAGAGCCTGACTTCTCCACCCCAGGGCACTATATTCTGTTTATTGTGGTTTGGAAAGTTGGGAGTATTGAGACTAATCAAATGTGTATAATGTACTTGTGCTCTGAAAATAGGCACATTTTCTTGACTTCACACACATTTTGTGTGTTTCCGTGTGAATTTTGTTTAACCTGTTTGGTCCCTTACCAATTTGCATCCCTGTATCTTGGTAGATAGAAAATACATTTGAGATGTAATGTAAACTTGGCAATTAGTAGATGGTGGTAAAAGTTGACCCCAAACTTTGTAACATTCTGAAAACTGACTTATGTCTTGGTCACTCTTAGGGCCAGGAATGATGGGCCGTGGTGGTGGTCCGATGGGACGAGGTGGGGAGCGCGGCGGCTTTATCCCCAGGGGTGGTCCCCGTGGCATGGGCGGTCCCCATGGCATGGGCAGAGGTGGGCCCTCAGGGGGCAACATGCAGCAGAGAGCAGGAGACTGGGAGTGCCCTAAAGAGTGAGTACTAACAAAAGGAAGTAAATTGTTCAGTCTTCAACTGCTTTTCTCTGTGGTTTAGGGTAGTTTTGACTGAGGCTTATGATTGCAGGGGCTGCGGTAACCAGAACTTTGCCTGGAGAATGGAGTGTAACCAGTGCAAATCACCCAAACCGGAAGGCTTTGGACCACCTTTCTCCCCTCCAGGTAAATGCTTTGCTAACTATCTACTTCATGAAGGATAAAGTAAGTAGTAGGTGAAAAGCTATAAATTGTCTTCCTTCCAACCAACACATTCTGTCTTGTTTCTAGGTGGTGACCGTGGTAGGGGTGGCCCAGGCATGCGCGGGCGTGGAGGGATGGACCGTGGAGGTCCAGGGGGCCCTGGAGGCTTCCGTGGAGGCAGGGGTGGTGATCGTGGAGGTGGATTCAGAGGACGTGGTGGCATGGAAAGAGGAGGCTTCGGAGGAAGGGGCCGTGGTGGCCCTCCCATGGATGACATGGGCGGCCGAGGCAGGAGGGGTATGGGATCCCCCGGCAAGATGATGGAAATGAAGTGAGTAAAGAATTATCCACATCCTCAACTAGCTCCCATCAAACAACCAAGCTTCTAATGCACACTTGGGCTTCTCATATTTAAACCCACACTTATTTTTACATTTTGGCAACAGAAGTTAATTGATGGCATTGTAAGCTGTCCTGGTTCAATTACATACAGTTATGAATGAAAAGGGAAAGCCCAAAAGGTGTTCTGAAAGCTGTCTGAATAAATCCGTCAAGGTTGTTAACGGAAATGTTCATTCCCTCTCCAGGGGAGACCATCGTCAGGACCGCAGAGGTCGTCCCTACTGAAGGATACAACGCTTGCATAAATTCCCATGATATACAGGATTTATTTTTAAAAGACAATTTTAAACTTGTAACTCCATATTTATAAATGGTTTAAGGTGGGAATTTGTGTGGCTCTATAGTCAAACTTCGGTGACCTTTTTATTTTTTACCAGTGTTAGTGTTTTTTTGTTCCGGTCTGGTTGAACATTCGTGAACCTATGGCAAACGCATGCTGTCTCATGTACAGATAAATTGTGTGAGATTGTATTTGTGAAACCTTGTGATAAGCATAACATTTTTTAACCTGTTCTGTCCTTCCTTCTCTGACTATGTTGAATTAAAAAAAAAAAAAAATTTAGTCACTTGTCTTTCCTGGAAAAGGGTTTGTTGATATTACTGCTTTAGTAATGGAATGATCATTGTTTCACTCCAGATTTAAGGAAATATTGTGGATTAGCTGGTTATGAGGTTTCATTATGGACCGACTGTGTGATAGTTATGCAGAATGTCTCCAGTTTACCATGACATTCGCGAGATGGTCCCAAGGTACAGTGAGGGGGAAAAAGTATTTGATCCCCTGCTGATTTTGTACGTTTGCCCACTGACAAAGAAATGATCAGTCTATAATTTTAATTTATTTGAACAGTGAGAGACAGAATAACAACAACAAAATCCAGAAATGCATTTCAAAAATGTTATAAATTGATTTGCATTTTAATGAGGGAAATAAGTATTTGACTCCCTCTCAATCAAAGATTTCTGGCTCCCAGGTGTCTTTTATACAGGTAACGAGCTGAGATTAGGAGCACACTCTTAAAGGGAGTGCTCCTAATCTCAGTTTGTTACCTGTATAAAAGACACCTGTCCACAGAAGCAATCAATCAATCCGATTCCAAACTCTCCACCATGGCCAAGACCAAAGAGCTCTCCAAGGATGTCAGGGACAAGATTGTAGACCTACACAAGGCTGGAATGGGCTACAAGACCATCGGCAAGCAGCTTGGTGAGAAGGTGACAACAGTTGTTGCGATTATTTGCAAATGGAAGAAACACAAAAACACTGTCAATCTCCCTCGGCCTGGGGCTCCATGCAAGATCTCACCTTGTGGAGTTGCAATGATCATGAGAACGGTGAGGAATCAGCCCAGAACTACACAGGAGGATCTTGTCAATGATCTCAAGGCAGCTGGGACCATAATCACCAAGAAAGCAATTGGTAACACACTACGCCGTGAAGGACTGAAATCCTGCAGCGCCCGCAAGGTCCCCCTGCTCAAGAACGCACATATACAGGCCCGTCTGAAGTATACCAATGAACATCTGAATGATTCAGAGGAGAACTGGGTGAAAGTGTTGTGGTCAGATGAGACCAAAATCGAGCTCTTTGGCATCAACTCAACTCGCCGTGTTTGGAGGAGGAGGAATGCTGCCTATGACCCCAAGAACACCATCCTCACTGTCAAAAATGGAGGTGGAAACATTATGCTTTGGTGGTGTTTTTCTGCTAAGGGGACAGGACAATTTCACCACATCAAAGAGATGATGGAAGGCGCCATGTACCGTCAAATCTTGGGTGAGAACCTCCTTCCCTCAGCCAGGTCATTGAAAATGGGTCGTGGATGGGTATTCCAGCATGAAAATGACCCAAAGGAGTGGCTCAAGAAGAAGCACATTAAGGTCCTGGAGTGGCCTAGCCAGTCTCCAGACCTTAATCCCATAGAAAATCTGTGGAGGGAGCTGAAGGTTCGAGTTGCCAAACGTCAGGCTCGAAACCTTAATGACTTGGAGAAGATCTGCAAAGAGGAGTGGGACAAAATCCCTCCTGAGATGTGTGCAAACCTGGTGGCCAACTACAAGAAACGTCTGACCTCTGTGATTGCCAACAAGGGTTTTGCCACCAAGTACTAAGTCATGTTTTGCAGAGGGGTCAAATACTTATTTCCCTAATTAAAATGCAAATCAATTTATAACATTTTTGACGTGTTTTTCTGGATTTTTTTGTTGTTATTCTGTCTCTCACTGTTCAAATAAACCTACCATTAAAATTATAGACTGATCATGTCTTTGTCAGTGGGCAAACGTACAAAATCAGCAGGGGATCAAATACTTTTTTCCCTCACTGTATATGCTTCCTCAAAGGAGTTGTACATATAGATTATGCTTATCCTATGGCGTCATCATGCTTCATATGATGGAATTACAATAACGCCCCTCTGGCATTTTACAAGTAAGCCTATGGTCTCATGAGTCTTTTCAAGTACCCCCTGTGGATAGGCCAAGTACCCCCAGGGGTCCTAGTACCACTGCGCTAATACACAGCAAGTAGTGTCACACCAGAGTTGGTTTCAATAGGCTCTGGCAGGTTTGTACTATTGCTGCGTTCGAAACACCTGGGAACTCTGGAAAAATACGAGGTCAAACCATGACGTCAGTGATCTTCAAGTCGGAGCTCAAAAAAGAGGCCAGAGTTCCCGAGTTGGAATTCCAAGTTGGATGACCGTTGTTGGTGAACACATTATATGGAGAGGGAGTACAAAACCAACGACGCTAGACGGAGTGGAATTAGGTTTAAGCAAAAGGCAGTTTATTAAACACAGAGATAGCTGGTACTGCTCAAGCTACATGCATGGGATCCTGCTAATTAACATGCATGGACCTAATCATATGCCACGCTAATAGTGTCAGCTGAGAAGGATGGATAAACAGAGTTTACAGCATTACTTATACAATGTAACATAAAGGAAGGGGTCCTTCTTCTAGTCCCTTGATTGGTTCCCGAGGCGTAGGAGGCGGGTCTGCTCTGTCCAGAGTAGAAGCCCCATTGGTGCACGGCAGAGTCCTCTGCCCTTGGCACCCGACCAGTAGAAGGAAGTGGAGTTTGTGTGTGCGTCCACAGAGAAATGTCTGTGTGTGTCAAAGAACTCGTGAGGCATGAGAATGAGTGTGCGTCCACAGTGAGATGTGTGTGTGTGTGTCTCAAGGGAAACTCGTGGGGAGCAACAAGTGATTGTGGCCTGTGGCGTGGGTGTTGTCCTTGGCCACCTGGTGACAAGATATGGTCCTCTGTCCATTGTTCTTGCATAGGAACAGCATTTATTGAAAACAAGCTCCTAACACAAAATGGGTCTTGCACAACATTTTAGTCAGACCAAGCTATAACATTTTATATTTACTACGACAAATCCCCCTCTTCACGTCTACTAGACGTGATCCATTAATTATGTTGGCATTAAGCATAGTTGAATCAGTCTTAAAAGAAAAACAGTAATGAAGGAAAGAAAACAAAACTAGCATACTAATTATATGGGCAGTTAATTAAAGAATGTTAGTCCCCCTCTAGTGAGTGATTATATGGCTAGTTAATTAAACAATGTTAGTCCCCCTCTAGTGCACGATTAAATACATCAAAGCTGTTGTTCAAATTTTATTTCATCTTCATTTTGGTGTCAAATTTTGGTTTTGGCTGCTCAAATCAGCCCTGACTTCTGTCAGTGATCTAGAAGGAGTGGGGGCTGGTGTGCAATGAGTTAGATGGTGCCAGGGTACGCCTGATTTACCTCTGACCTGGACTGAGTGTGAAGTAACCTCCTTCACTTCGTACGGTCCAGTCCACCTGGGTTCCAGCCACTTTCTCTTGTGGACTTTTACCCTCACCCAGTCTCCCACTTTTACCTTCAGTGTCAGCGTACTTCCCGACAGCTCCCCCTCTTGGGCCTTCTGCACCTGAGAAGAGAGTGCTGCAGAAAATTCCGTCAATTTCATCACATAATCAGTCATTTCTATCTGTTGTACATCAAGGGAGGGCATATGACCTCCCTCCCTTGGTGGACCTATGTTAATTTTGTTCCTGCACAAACCTTTGTTATTTTAGCTTTAAATGTTTGGTTGGGACTGTGGATGTTACTGAACCGAATCTGTGCATGATTCCGAATCTTACCTCCACCTTTTTCAGGTGTTTGTTGCTAAAATGTGTGGTTGTCAGATCTTATCTGCCTTGGTATACCATATCTGGGTATTAACTTAGTTTGTAGCCACTTAATGACTGACCTATCATCCTCTAATTCTGTAGTTTTCTGTAGGAATTGCCTCTACCCATTTTGAAAACCTGTCTACAGTTTCTGTTATGTGAGGGTGCCACCAGATGTGTGAAACCTTTTGGAGGGTTTTAAACTTCCCCTCATGTGTGGGCCCGTGGGCCTCACTCAACAGAGTTCTGGGCAGAGTCTAGCTGGTGTATATCTTCCATCATGGCACCTCCAGAGTTTTGTCCTGTCCTCTGCCGCCCCCTCCTGGGCCCAGACTGAGTGTTCATAGGGTCCTGCTGAGCTCTGTAACTGTGCTATATCGCCTTGGTTGAGTTCAGTCTGTGATGTCGGTGGTAGTAGTATTGGATGAGGATCACGCCTTCGGGCACCTGGTGTTCAGACAGGTGGGTTTATGGTTGTTGTGGGGGTCCTCCCCTTCCTCTACCTCTCCATTGTGGTGTACCTCTGCCTCTTCCCCTCCATTGGGGTTGATGGTTAGATTTCTGCAGATCCCAACAATCACGCTTGAAATGTCCAGTTCTTCCACAATGGTAGCACAGGTAGTTCCCTCTTCTAGGAGGACCCGGTGGAGTGCCCCGCTGAGGCCATGGTTGTGGTTGTGGGCCAAAAGTCATGGTGCCTTTTAGGCTGTATAGTGAGGTGGGGCCAGGAGTGGTGCTGGTGTCTGGGACGACTGTAGGAGACCCTTTCACACACATTGTGTCAGATTTTTTAGGTTGCACCCTCCTACTCTCCTCTATTTCCCATGTCCCTACTCTCAACTCTCCCTCTGCTCTCTCTGTCATTCGTTGTTCTAGGCATTCATTAAATTTGGGTTTAGTTATGTTTGGCCCTGCCATCTTGCTTTCTCTATCTTTATACACTTATCCCGTCCCTGGTGTTTTATTTCCAAGGATGTATTATCGGTATCAAATACAGACTTATCTCATGTACGACACCCTCGTATATAAAGAGGCTGATTGTTTTTATATTATGTGTAATGCAATCATTATCATAAAAATCAGAATTCCAGTCACATATACCAATGCAGTAATTTCTACACACAGCACACACCACGCTTTAGTTATCTCACGCTTGTTCTAGAATCATGCACAACTTCAATATCAGTCTCCCCAGTCCCCGGTTCCTGAAACCCTAGGTCAAATTCACTCAATTCCACAGATTGGTGTTCAGTCTCATAAGTCTCACTATTACTTCCCATCATCCATTACACGTTATAATACATCAAAACACACAGCCAAAAGTTACACGTTATAATACATGAAAACACACAGCCAAAAGCCAATTGGAATTACAATGCTTAATGTATTCAGGCTATCAAGAGTCCTAGAACACATTCTCAGTTCGACTGCCACTCTTCACACGTCCTTTTGTAAGGACCAATTTAACATGTGAAGTCGGAGAAGCAACTTGAATTTAGATTACCAGAGCGTCCTAAAACATAGTCTCAGTTCGACTGCACCCTTCACACAACCTTAAAAGGCACCTTCATTATGTGAAGTCACAGAAGCAACTGGATCCCTATCAAAGGATTTTTAGTTTAGACAACTCGATCACTAGGAAGGACTTAGTCTCAGCTTAATTGTACCTTTCACACAACCATTTATATGGAACGTTTTAAATGTGAAATCACAAAGATAACTGGCATCCCCGGGAATTTAGTACCTCTGGTCAATTTCGGTGATTCTCCCCCACCTAATGATGGGTCAAATCTTATCCACTCATACGTCAAAAACACATCCCCCACACAACCTATCTAAAAAATAGGACCTTTTAAATGTGTAAACTTATTTGTGTGACTACACACTCCCCACACAACCTATCTAAATAGGACCTTTTAAATGTGGAAACTCACAACCTATCTAAATAGGACTTTTTAACTGTGTTAACTTATTTGTGTGACTACACACTCCCCACACAACCTATCTAAATAGGACCTTTTAAATGTGGAAACTCACAACCTATAAAATAGGACTTTTTAACTGTGTTAACTTATTTGTGTGACTACACACTCCCCACACAACCTATCTAAATAGGACCTTTTAAATGTGGAAACTCACAACCTATCTAAATAGGACTTTTTAACTGTGTTAACTTATTTGTGTGACTACACACTCCCCACACAACCTATCTAAATAGGACCTTTTAAATGTGGAAACTCACAACCTATCTAAATAGGACTTTTTAACTGTGTTAACTTATTTGTGTGACTACACACTCCCCACACAACCTATCTAAATAGGACCTTTTAAATGTGGAAACTCACAACCTATCTAAATAGGACTTTTTAACTGTGTTAACTTATTCATGTAAAATTTTACAGTATAAATCACAGTACCAGATATTACATTTACATTTAAGTCATTTAGCAGACGCTCTTATCCAGAGCGACTTACAGTTAGTGAATACATATTTTTTTATACTGGCCCCCCGTGGGAATCGAACCCACAACCCTGGCGTTGCAAACACCATGCTCTATCAACTGAGCTACATCCCTGCCGGCCTTTCCCTCCCCTACCCTGGACGACGCTGGGCCAATTGTGCGCCGCCCATGAGTCTCCCGGTCGCGGCCGGCTGCGACAGAGCCTGGATTCGAACCAGGATCTCTAGTGGCACAGTTAGCACTGCGATGCAGTGCCTTAGACCACTGCGCCACTCAGGAGATATCTCACTTATGCCTTAATTCATTAGGATGGAAAATTGTTTAACAAGTATTCATACTCACGCTCAGTACTTCTGATCAAAATTTGGTATTGGTCTATAATACAATATGCAAGATTTCGTTTTAACAGGCTCTGCATACCTTTTTAGAAGAGCGCTCTGATCAGGTTCCTGAGGCAAGACGAATAGTTGATGTCTCCTGGATTACAGGTCACTCTTCCGTCTGTTTTTAGATCGATGATTTGCCTTTTCCTCTCGCACCAACTCTTTAGATCGAATTAGAAACCATCCTCTGCTACCATTTTGTTGGTGAACACATTATATGGAGAGGGAGTACAAAACCAACGACGCTAGACGGAGTGGAATTAGGTTTAAGCAAAAGGCAGTTTATTAAACACAGAGATAGCTGGTACTGCTCAAGCTACATGCATGGGATCCTGCTAATTAACATGCATGGACCTAATCATATGCCACGCTAATAGTGTCAGCTGAGAAGGATGGATAAACAGAGTTTACAGCATTACTTATACAATGTAACATAAATATATATATATATATATGCCATTTAGCAGACGCTTTTATCCAAAGCGACTTACAGTCATGCGTGCATACATTTTTTTTTAATTTTTTTTTTGTGTATGGGTGGTCCCGGGGATCGAACCCACTACCTTGGCGTTACAAGCGCCGTGCTCTACCAGCTGAGCTACAGAGGACCACATAAAGGAAGGGGTCCTTCTTCTAGTCCCTTGATTGGTTCCCGAGGCGTAGGAGGCGGGTCTGCTCTGTCCAGAGTAGAAGCCCCATTGGTGCACGGCAGAGTCCTCTGCCCTTGGCACCCGACCAGTAGAAGGAAGTGGAGTTTGTGTGTGCGTCCACAGAGAAATGTCTGTGTGTGTCAAAGAACTCGTGAGGCATGAGAATGAGTGTGCGTCCACAGTGAGATGTGTGTGTGTGTGTGTGTGTGTCTCAAGGGAAACTCGTGGGGAGCAACAAGTGATTGTGGCCTGTGGCGTGGGTGTTGTCCTTGGCCACCTGGTGACAAGATATGGTCCTCTGTCCATTGTTCTTGCATAGGAACAGCATTTATTGAAAACAAGCTCCTAACACAAAATGGGTCTTGCACAACATTTTAGTCAGACCAAGCTATAACATTTTATATTTACTACGACACCGTTCAAACCGATTTTTCCAGTTTTTAACGCACTGAAGTCGGAAAGTTCAAAGTTCCTAGTTGTTTTGAACGTGGCATGTACTGTAGCTAATGTACACCTAGTGATGTAATGATAGTGGGCGTGGCATGTAGTGACGTAATGCTAATAGTTATGTGTACTGTTTGTTACAAGTACCCTCAATGGCAGTGGGCGCAGCGTGTTATTGCAGTCCGCAGATGGATATTATTGGGCATTTTGTCAATTTACCCTAAAACTACTTAATATCGGAGTTGTTCCTGTTGTCATAGAGATAGAAAGAGGACTCCTCATGGATATAACCTATTTTAGCATGGATGTTGCCATTGAGGGCTTCCACCGTTTTAAAGTAGTCAACTGGTTGGGGATTCCTATGAGTTGGGAGCAATCAGCCTACTTTAAAATGGCGATAGCCTCAATGGCACAGAAGCTATAATGGCAAAGATATGTCCTCTTTCTCAATGGCATGTTCACACACGTAACTGCCCTCTCATTGGCTATAATGGTCCCACCTTAGCTGCAGTCCAAACTCAAAGTAGACCACCCCGCCCTAAACTCCCAGCCCTTGAATTACGTTTTACATCGTCACATCCGAGTGTACCTTAAACGTCCCTTGCCCAAGCGAGGGAGAGTTGAGCCTAGAAAAAAACTAAAGCTATTAACGTACCTAGCAGGCTAACGTAGCTAGCTACCCATAGCTGGAAAGCTAGTTTTATAGTTTGGTCATTTATTTCAATAAATTTCAGAATTCCAAAAAATGTGTTTATGAAGCTAGCTCCGTTTTCTAGACTACTCACTACGAGAATAAGCCAATTTGCCAACGCTAAAATCAATGTAATCTATATGTATTTGCAAGATAGCGAAAATGCAACATTGTTGATTACATTTGACACTTCGCGGCCACCAGAGTTTGATAGGTGACTACAGTTTGCATTGATTTGTGGGTTATATCAACCCCACAAGTGTTAAAAATTCTTCACTCCCTGCCTCCAGCTAAATCGAAGGCCAAGGGGGCAACGTTTGTGAATTGGACCTCCACTTAAAATGGCAATTAAACGGCATCCTGTTCCGACGGGGATTCCCCGGAGGGAAAGTGGCTAGCGCGAGGGCTAAGGGGGTAAAAATAACGTGTTTGGACTGCAGCCCTGATCTCGCCTCCTCCCGCCTGCCTTTCATCTTTTAGTACATGTATTTCCATTGTTAGAGCGGTCACTCGAATATCTTGTCAATATAATAGACAATCTTTGTCATAAACCAGTGTTTGACTTGGCCGAGCAACTACGTCACACTCCTCTTCCCCTGCTCTCATCAGGAACAGTGCTGAACTCTCCGCTAGGTTAGGGAGAATCAAGATAGCTAAACACGCTCTCCAACCCGGTGGTAGCCCCACTCCGTCTAGCTGAACTACTAGTAAATAGCTACAGTGGGTTACCTCGTCGGCGTTGCTTCATGGGTAAAGCAGGTGCGGTGTTGGTCGTTCATAGGCAAGCTAGCTAGCAGTATCATCCCTCCAGGGGCTAGCTAGTAACGTAGCTAGCTAACGTTAGCAGCTCAGTGTTGATTCCTCTGACTCCATCAACCGCTGACAGTGGTGCAAATGAGTGAACCGGGGAAGTGTTTGCCTTCCCCTACTTCTTCAGGGGGGCAACCTGCGGCGTCTGACACATACAAAGGCTGGTTATATAAATGGACTAACTACTTGAAGGGCTACCAACGCCGGTGGTTTGTCCTTAGCAACGGCCTTCTGTCATATTACAGGTAATTGCTAGCAGCTAGCTATGCTACCGTTAGAACGCTAGCTAGATGTCAAATCAGGCTAGATAGCTAGCTGCGTTAATGCAAGCAAAGTCGAGTGCAGTTTCGAACCAAACCCACAGTGACTGTAATTTCAGATGAATCATGTAGTTGACAGTAATAGACTGCTTGGCGTGCACAATTTGTATCAATGCAGTAACGGGTAACTTTAGAACTACTGTAGTTGGGACAATATTACTCACAAAAACAACTCTGTCTGTTAAGATATTTGGCAATTGAGAACAGCATGCCATGATGAGCATCATCCCAAAGTAAGGGCATTCTCTAGTCACAGTCAATGACAGGGCATAAATGCAGAATGTATGGGATACAATTAGGCAAAAGCAGAAAAATATAAACTTATCAGACTCTAAATGAGTGAAGATACACTCAGTGGCCAGTTTATTAGGTACACCCATATAGTACTGGGTCGGACCCCCCTTTGGCTCCAGAACAGCCTGAATTCTCTGGGGATATTTTCAGATACACTGTGACATTCAAACGTTGCTCCTACTGCTTATGCCAAATCCTGACTCTGCCATCAGCATGATGCAGTAGGAACTGGGATTTGTCAGACCAGGCATGTGATTGTGTGCCCACTGGAGCCACTTCTTATTTTTTGCTGATAGGAGTGGAACCCGGTGTGGTCGTCTGCTGCAATAGCCCATCCATGACAAGGACCAACGAGTTGTGCGTTCCGAGATGCCGTTCTACACACCACTGTTGTACTACGCCGTTATTTGCCTGTTGGTGGCCCGCATGTTAGCTTGCACGATTCTTGCCATTCTCCTTCGACCTCTCTCATCAGCGAGCTGTTTTAGCCCACAGGACTGCTGCTAACTGGAGGATTTTTGTTTGTTGCACACTGTCGTGTGTGAAAAGCACAGGAGCCTGGGCATTTCTGAGACACTGGAACCGGCACGCCTGGTACCGACGATCATACCACGCTCCTTCGCTTATGTCACTCGTTTTGCACATTCTAGCCATTCCGTTCACATTTTTGTGAACAGGATGGTGTAGCTAATAAACTGACCACTGAGTGTATATTTATGGTTGGTTATATGATGATATTTGACTGGTTATATGATGATATTTGACTGTCATGTAGTGTCGTACTCTCTATCTATGTAGCAACCTACGGGACCCGCCTAGGTCGTTACATTTCATTATGATGTTTGACATGTTTTACCTGATGCTTTAAAAAGTGTGAAAGTGTGGTCCTCTGATTTAGTAATAGCCTTCACAGTTGGTAGGCACACTTCCGTAAAACCAGTTAAGAGGGATGTCAGCCAGACGGTGTTATTAGTCAGAGGTGTGTGCGTGTGGACACTTGGGCATCAGCACTTTCCCTGGCTGCCCTACAGTCTCTGATGGGAATGCATGACTGCCCTGCTGTGTGTGTTTATGTAACTGTACTCTTGAGTACCAGCACAGAATAAAGAGTTAAATGCCCTGGCATAACCAACACATGCACATTGAACCGACATGGACACAGAAATACATTTCCAAGCACTCACATCAGCTATGCTCTAGTAGGTGCAGGTGTAACAAACTGTAAGATACTGTACTTCTATGAAATATAAAAAATTGCATGTGTATTTGGCTGAATTTTTGTGGTGTGCGTGTGTGTGCGTACCGTGTTGTGCGACATTTCTGTTTCTGTAGAACTAGATTTAGTCAGCAGACTCTTTTCCCTTGTCTCTGTGTGGACGTGTGTTGGTGTGTGCGCGTCTTTGTGCATTAGGACTCAGGCAGAGATGGCCCACACTTGCCGTGGCACCATCTCCCTGACCACTGCACACATTGAGGTGGGTGACGCGTGCCACCTGGTGCTGACCAGCGGGGGGCGGAGCTACCACCTGAAGGCCACCTCAGATGGGGAGAGTCAGCGCTGGGTCTCTGCCCTCCAACAGGCTAAGGCCAACGCCAGTCACATGATGCACCAATCAGGTGAGAGACAGTGGAAAATCATATGTTTGGGTGGATTTGGATGTTTTAAATGGGAGAGTGGGTGAAGAATGCTTAGCCTACATTCAAAATAAAGTGTGACAACACTGTAGGATTTGTGGCCTTACTGCTGTACACAACACAGTGATTTGTGACTTGAAAGGAATTAGAATATACATTATGAAAAAGTGATGACAAAGTATTATAAGAGTAGGATATTTTACCTTTGGCTTACTTCTCATTGGAGGTGAAAATGTATATTGGGACAGTAACTGTCAAAGCATCCACTACTTGCAGGTTCTATTTTTGAAATGTTCAAGTTTAAGGACCTGAGGTAAACAAATCTAATAATGTAGCATTCTGTGTCAAGGTTATCAGTGTCATTTATACAATCAACCACAAGGTGGTGGACTTGCTCAATACATGTTGACCGTTTGGGACAAGTGTTCCTGTTTTCTCTATATATAATGCAACATTTGACTAATTATTGTGGTGGTTGGTTCTGTTCCCATTAAACCCTCCAATGGAGACTGTCAGTTATCAGTCATTTCAACAAGCTATCATGTGGCTTTTTTGCTCATTGCATTGCTAAGTGGGCACACTGCTCTAGTGTCCTTGAGAGTTCATTGTCTTGATTGAACTGTGTAATTCTGAGCTGTCTCCACCGATTGCTGGTTTAAGTCCCGGTCTCTGATTTGCACTTCGTGAGCTTGTGGAAAAGAGGGTGACTGCCAAGGATAGTGCAAGGGCACAGCTTGTAAGATACCTCTCTCTTTCTCATCTCGCTCTCTGCCCTACATCTAATTTTCATCTTCCCTCACACACTTACTCTCTCTTTCCCTCTCTACCCCTCCCTCTGTGTCTCGCTCTCCCTCCCGCTCCCTTTTGTCTGAGTATGACGACAGCCAGAGTTGAATGAAGTGACCTTCCAGCATTTATACTCCTCCTCCCACTGCTATGGAGAGAGAGAGATGCTTCATATTTCCATTGAGACAATTTTCTCTCCGTCTGCACAGTAGAGAAAGAGATTGAGTGCAGCCTCCTAATGAGTTTTCCTCTGTGAGTATTTATTACCTGCAATAATGATATTGAGGAAAGAATTGTCAAGTAAGCTATAGTGGAGGGGTTGGTGTGTGTACGTGTGAATGGATTCATTCCCTGTGTGGTACTATAAGGTATTTTTTTCCTCATGGTAATAGACTTTGACAGTCAGTGGGGTAGACTGATTTCTGTCTGGGACTTTACTAGTGTGTTTGACTATTAACTGTGGCAGATTTTCCAGTAGTATTGCAGAAGTCTGATGAGCTGAGCACCAATAAACGTCATTGGGGCCCTTTTTTCATTTATTAGCTGCACAATGGAACAAATGTGATTACCTGATTATTAAATGTTATTTGGTATCTTTTATGTGTTCGCTTCTCTATTGCGGCAATGCTTAGTCAAAGCTCTATCTTTTTAGCTCCTTACTGATTTGAACTGACCTAAATATGACAGATGGTGGTAATAGATCTATTACATGTAATGCACGTTTTTCTACAGATAGGGTTTATGTCTTATTTTCTCAGGGCTCTGCATTCATTCATAGGAGAGGGGTGTGCCTCTGCCTCATTCCCCAGTACTCTTACCCTCTGGAGGGGTTGTTTGTCAGTGTATGCTTGTGTTTATGGACATCTGTTTCTTTATTTAACCTTTATTTAACGAGTCAGTTAAGGACATTCTTACAGCCTGGCGAGTGGTGAGTCAGGCAAGTCAGTTGAGAACAGCTTCTTAGATCAGTGTGTGTGTGTGAGGGGGAAGTGAGTGTATGGGCTATGTGTGTGTTCTACTGATGATTATAACAGTAGAGGTCTTCAGTAATAAGATTCTAGGTGGTAATAGATGGACACACCAGTTGTTTTAACTGGATTGTAGTTCTGCTGTGATCATCATCTGTCAGGGTCTTATTGTATCACCTTTCAAACCAAGACGTTTTGCCGCCAACTTTAGCATTCTGCTGACTTTTCTTTATATCTGAAAGGTATTGCCGGCAACAAAGCCTGTACTTTTATTTCCGCCAACCGACCTAGTCATAATTGCGGTAATATGTTTATAAGTCCCGCCAACCCCTCAATATAAAGTATTCATACCCCTTGACTTACAGTTCCTTCAGAAAGTATTCATACCCCTTGACTTATTCAAAATGTTGTTGTTACAGCTTGAATTCAAAATAGATTAAACAGATTTTGTTTTCACCCATCTACACACAATACCCATAAATTACAAAGTGAAAACATGTTTTTAGAAATGTTTGAAAATTAAAAACAGAAATATCTTATTTACATAAGTATTCACACCACTGAGTCAATACATTTACATTACATTTACGTCATTTAGCAGACGCTCTTATCCAGAGCGACTTACAAATTGGTGCATCTTTGGCAGCGATTACAGCTGTGAGTCTTTTTTTGGGTAAGTCTCTAAGAGCTTTACACACCTGGATTGTGCAACGTTTGCCAATTTATTATTTTCAGAATTCTTCAAGTTCTATCAAATTGGTTGTTGATCATTGCTAGACAACCATTTTCAGGTCTTGCCATAGATTTTCAAGTAGATTCAGTGGTCAAAAAAGTACCCAATTGTCATACACATACTGTGTGTGTGCAACAGAGTGAGTTAGAGAGACATAACTATTTGAGATAATATTTTGATTAAGAGTTACAAAATAGAGCTATTGCCAGTGGTGGAAAAAGTACCCAAATGTCTTACTTGAGTAAAAGTAAAGACACCTTAATAGAAAATGACTCAAGTAAAAGTGAACGTCACCCAGTACAATACTACTTGAGTAAAAGTCTAAAAGTATTTGGTTTTAAATATAAGTATCAAAAGTAAATGTAATTGCTAAAATATACTTAAGTATCAAAACTATAAATCATTTCAAATGTCTTATAAGCAAACCAGACGGCACAATATTCTAGTTTTTTTAATTTACGGATAGCCAGGGGCACACTCCAGCACTAAGACATCATTTACAAATGACGTATTTATGTTTAGTGAGTCCGCCAGATCAGAGCCAGTAGAGATGACCAGGGACGTTCTCTTGATAAGTGTGTGAATTGGACCATTTTCCTGTCCTGCTAAGCCTTAGAAATGTAACGAGTACTTTTGGGTGTCAGGGAACATATATGGAGTAAAAAGTACATAATGTTCTTTAGAAATCTAGTGAAGTAAAAGTTGTCATCAATATAAATAGTAAAGTACAGATACCCCCAAAAACGATTTAAGTAGTACTTGAAATTATTTTTACTTAAATCTACTCAGTGGTGTAAAGTACTTAAGTCAGACCTGTAACTCGGCCACTCAGGAACATTCACTGTCTTCTTGGTAAGCAACTCCAGTGTAGATTTGGCCTTGTGTTTTAGGTTATTGTCCTGCTGAAAGGTGAATTAATCTCCCAGTGTCTGAAGGAAAGCAGACTGAACCAGGTTTTACTCTAGGATTTTGACTGTGCTTAGCTCCATTTTTCTTTTTTATCCTGAAAAACTCCCCAGGCCCTAACGATTACAAGCATACCCATAACATGATGCAGCCACCACTATGCTTAAAAATATGGAGACTCCAGGCGTCCTTCTTTTCACTCTGTCAATTAGGTTAGTATTGTGGAGTAACTACAATGTTGTTGATCCATCCTCAGTTTTCTTATATCATAACCATTAAACTATAACTGTTTTAAAATCACCATTGGCTTAATGGTGAAATCCCTGAGCAGTTTCCTTCTTCTCCAGCAACTGAGCTAGGAAGGACACCTGACTGGGTGTATTGATACACCATCCAAAGCCTAATTAATAACATTATGGGGTATTGTGTGTAGATCAGTGACACAAAATCTCAATTGAATTAATTTTAAATTCAGGCTGTAACACAACAAAATGTGGAAAAGTAAAGGGATATGAATACTTTCTGAAGGCACTGTAAATGTCCACTCGTAACACCATACAGTAGCTCACACCACCTGTCTCTCCTCTTTCCTTACTCCTTCGCCTGGCATCTTTCCTCTCTCCATCCCCATTGTGGGTTCCCTCTCCATCACATGTAGGGCCGGATCACTGTGAGTCACACATGAGTCATTCAGATGTATGAGTCAGGGCCATCTCTATCAATTATCTGCTGACATGTTTTCCTCTGACTCCCACACATGACAGATGATGTGTACTTAACTATCGTACAGACAAACATACCATGCAGCACTCCTCCTCTCCTGCTGTGTGGCAGAAATTACTCACAGTCCATTTAGACTATATTATCAAAGTCCATTTAGACTACATTATCACAGACATTTCCTAGGAGGGGTGTGCTTCGATACAGAGTCACAGGTTTGGTGACTATGCTAATGAAGTTGTACACTGGTATCATAGCAGCACCATGTAGAGCAGCTGTCGGAGGTATGTGTGTGTGTGACAGAGTGAGGGATATCTTCTGGGTGCTCTTATCTGTCTCTCTCCCCATGTGCTGTATATGGGTCATCGGACCACTGCAGATGCCTGAAGGAGTTTTCACTCTCTTTCGTTTTAATCTTCTTCCCCAGAGAGCTCACAAATCCAGTTTCCTCTGATAGTTTTTTCTCTAATAACAGCATGGGAGTTCTTCACTGTGGTCTGGCGCTCCAAGGCTGCTCTGACTGACACTGGCCTTGATTCAGACAACCTGCCTGGGAGATTGTAGCTTATATATGCATGCATGTGTCACGTGAAGCAGGCAAAGGCCCAGATCTGTGTTTTTACAGTAGGATCTACTGTAGGTATTTGTGATATTTACATTTTTTATACTGACATTTACTTTTTTAAACTTTTTTTTTTTTTAGTGGGTAGATCAGCTTTAACTTCCATCAGATACAGTAAGGGAAAAAAGTATTTGATCCCCTGCTGATTTTGTACGTTTGCCCACTGACAAAGAAATGATCAGTCTATAATTTTAATGGTAGGTTTATTTGAACAGTGAGAGACAGAATAACAGCAAAAAAATTCAGAAAAACGCATGTCAAAAATGTTATGAATTGATTTGCATTTTAATGAGGGAAATAAGTATTTGACACCCTCTCAATCAGAAAGATTTCTGGCTCCCAGGTGTATTTTATACAGGTAACGAGCAGCGATTAGGAGCACACTCTTAAAGGGAGTGCTCCTAATCTCAGCTTGTTACCTGTATAAAATACACCTGTCCACAGAAGCAATCAATCAATCCGATTCCAAACTCTCCACCATGGCCAAGACCAAAGAGCTCTCCAAGGATGTCAATGATCATGAGAACGGTGAGGAATCAGCCCAGAACTACACAGGAGGATCTTGTCAATGATCTCAAGGCAGCTGGGACCATAGTCACCAAGAAAACAATTGGTAACACACTACGCCGTGAAGGACTGAAATCCTGAAGCGCCCGCAAGGTCCCCCTGCTCAAGAAAGCACACATACAGGCCCGTCTGAAGTTTGCCAATGAACATCTGAATGATTCAGAGGAGAACTGGGTGAAAGTGTTGTGGTCAGATGAGACCAAAATCGAGCTCTTTGGCATCAACTCAACTCGCCGTGTTTGGAGGAGGAGGAATGCTGCCTATGACCCCAAGAACACCATCCTCACCGTCAAACATGGAGGTGGAAACATTATGCTTTGGGGGTGTTTTTCTGCTAAGGGGACAGGACAACTTCACCGCATCAAAGGGACGATGGATGGCGCCATGTACCGTCAAATCTTGGGTGAGAACCTCCTTCCCTCAGCCAGGGCATTGAAAATGGGTTGTGGATGGGTATTCCAGCATGACAATGACCCAAAACACACGGCCAAGGCAACAAAGGAGTGGCTCAAGAAGAAGCACATTAAGGTCCTGGAGTGGCCTAGCCAGTCTCCAGACCTTAATCCCATAGAACATTTGTGGAGGGAGCTGAAGGTTTGAGTTGCCAAACGTCAGGCTCGAAACCTTAATGACTTGGAGAAGATCTGCAAAGAGGAGTGGGACAAAATCCCTCCTGAGATGTGTGCAAACCTGGTGGCCAACTACAAGAAACGTCTGACCTCTGTGATTGCCAACAAGGGTTTTGCCACCAAGTACTAAGTCATGTTTTGCAGAGGGGTCAAATACTTATTTCCCTCATTAAAATGCAAATCAATTTATAACATTTTTGACATGTGTTTTTCTGGATATTTTTGTTGTTATTCTGTCTCTCACTGTTCAAATAAACCTACCATTAAAATTATAGACTGATCATGTCTTTGTCAGTGGGCAAACGTACAAAATCAGCAGGGGATCAAATACTTTTCCCCCTCACTGTATATACTTATTATGAACACAGTATGCTTTACATTAGTTATCTTGTTGTTATTAGTTGTTGTTATTAGTCCCATCCTTCAGCTCCATTCAACACCTCCCATATTGGATTTTACAAAAGTTCTGAATCTTTCTATTCTCATTGTTTCTACAGATTGTAAATTGAATATAAACATTTTTGCTAAAAGTATTATTATATTATTGATCGATTGACTATGACTTTTCAGATCACCCAGTAGTGCTATCTGCAGGGTTAGCTCCAGGTAAATATTGCAATCCTTTAGCCATTCCTGGACCTGTGTCCAAAAACAAGCTACAAATGGACAGTACCAAAACAAATGATCTAATGATTCTGTCTCTTCGCAGCAAAATCTGCAGAGCTGGGAAGATTGTATCCCCCATATAAATAACATTCTATAGCAAGAATTTTATATAATAATTTTAATGGAAAAATTCTAAGTTTTGAATCCGCCGTTGTTTTGCGTATCAATTCCCAACTATTTTGCAATCTATATGGGACGGCTGTCAATCATTTGGTCCTTCAATGAAACTGGTATACTTTTTTATTTATCACAATTTTCTTTAACCAATTACAGTGGGGGAAAAAAGTATTTAGTCAGCCACCAATTGTGCAAGTTCTCCCACTTAAAAAGATGAGAGAGGCCTGTAATTTTCATCATAGGTACACGTCAACTATGACAGACAAATTGAGAGAAAAAGATCCAGAATATCACATTGTAGGATTTTTTATGAATTTATTTGCAAATTATAACCCTAACCTACAAACAAGCAAGATTTCTGGCTCTCACAGACCTGTAACTTCTTCTTTAAGAGGCTCCTCTGTCCTCCACTCGTTACCTGTATTAATGGCACCTGTTTGAACGTGTTATCAGTATAAAAGACACCTGTCCACAACCTCAAACAGTCACACTCCAAACTCCACTATGGCCAAGACCAAAGAGCTGTCAAAGGACACCAGAAACAACATTGTAGACCTGCACCAGGCTGGGAAGACTGAATCTGCAATAGGTAAGCAACTTGGTTTGAAGAAATCAACTGTGGGAGCAATTATTAGGAAATGGAAGACATACAAGACCACTGATAATCTCCCTCGATCTGGGGCTCCACGCAAGATCTCACCCCGTGGGGTCAAAATGATCACAAGAACGGTGAGCAAAAATCCCAGAACCACACGGGGGGACCTAGTGAATGACCTGCAGAGAGCTGGGACCAAAAGTAACAAAGCCTACCATCAGTAACACACTACGCCGCCAGGGACTCAAATCCTGCAGTGCAAGACGTGTCCCCCTGCTTAAGCCAATACATGTCCAGGCCCGTCTGAAGTTTGCTAGAGTGCATTTGGATGATCCAGAAGAGGATTGGGAGAATGTCATATGGTCAGATGAAACCAAAATATAACTTTTTGGTAAAAACTCAACTTGTCGTGTTTGGACGACAAAGAATGCTGAGTTGCATCCAAAGAACACCATACCTACTGTGAAGCTTGGGGGTGGAAAAATCATGCTTTGGGGCTGTTTTTCTGCAAGGGGACCAGGACGACTGATCCGTGTAAAGAAAGAATGAATGGGGCCATGTATCGTGAGATTTTGAGTGAAAACCTCCTTCCATCAGCAAGGGCATTGAAGATGAAACGTGGCTGGGTCTTTCAGCATGACAATGATCCCAAACACACCGCCCGGGCAACGAAGGAGTGGCTTCGTAAGAAGCATTTCAAGGTCCTGGAGTGGCCTAGCCAGTCTCCAGATCTCAACCCCATAGAAAATCTTTGGAGGGAGTTGAAAGTCCGTGTTGCCCAGCGACAGCCCCAAAACATCACTGCTCTAGAGGAGATCTGCATGGAGGAATGGGCCAAAATACCAGCAACAGTGTGTGAAAACCTTGTAAAGACTTACAGAAAACGTTTGACCTGTGTCATTGCCAACAAAGGGTATATAACAAAGTATTGAGAAACTTTTGTTATTGACCAAATACTTATTTTCCACCATAATTTGCAAATAAATTCATTTTCTGGATTTTTTTTCCTCATTTTTTCTGTCATAGTTGACGTGTACCTATGATGAAAATTACAGGCCTCTCTCATCTTTTTAAGTGGGAGAACTTGCACAATTGGTGGCTGACTAAATACTTTTTTCCCCCCACTGTAGAAAAAGTGATATTTGGGAGATTATTTCCTTTTCAAATAACTGAAAGTGAGAGGTTGTAATCTGAATAAAGGGAAAAAAGGCAATTCTTGAACATTGGGTGAGACAATCTTACTAATTTGCTAGAGAACCAGTTCGGATTTAAGTATAACTTTTGTATGACTGAAGCTTTTAGTGATAGGTCTAATGCTTTAATATTTAATAATGTATGTCCTCCAAATTCATATTCATTATATAAATAGCCCCGTTTAATTTTGTCTGGCTTGCCGTTCCAAATAAAATGGAATATTTTTTTCTCATATAATTTAAAAAACTGTTAGCTAGGCGTAGGCAAGACCATAAGCAAATAGGTAAACTGGGATAATACTAAAGCGTTAATCAGGGTGATCTTTCCACAAATTGACAGGTATTTACCTTTCCATGGTAGCAAGATCTTATCTATTTTTGCTAACTTTCTATTAACATTTATTGGAGTGAGATCATTTATTTCATTTGGGATATGTATCCCGAGTATATCCATATCACCATCAGACCATTTTATTGGTAAACTACATGGTAATGTAATTTATCATAATTTGGTTGTAATCCAGAGAGGTTAGAAAATGTATCTAGATCCTCTATGAGGCTGTGGAGGGATTCAAGTTATGGATTTAAAAGAAAACGTGAATCATCAGCGTACAATGACACCTTTGTTTTTAAGCCCTGGATTTCTAATCCCTTGATATTATTGTTGGATCTGATTTTAATAGCTAACATCTCGATGGCAATAATAAATAGATATGCCGATAGTGGACAACCTTGTTTTACTCCTCTTGACAGTTTAAAACTTTCTGAGAAATAGCCATTATTTACTATTTTACACCTAGGGTTACTATACATGATTTTAACCCAATTTATAAGAGATTGTCCAAAATTGAAATGCTCCAGGCATTTATATATAAACCCCAGTCGTACTTTATCAAATGCCTTTTCGAAGTCTGCTATGAATAGTAGGCCTGGTTTCCCAGATTTTTCATAGTGTTCTATTGTTTCCAGTACTTGCCTTATATTATCTCCAATGTATTGCCCATGTAAAAAACCTGTCTGATTAGAATGAATAATGTCCAACAATACCTTTTTAATTCTATGCGCTATACATTTTGCTAGAATTTTTGCATCATAACACTGAAGTGTAAGGGGCCTCATGTTTCAGTAATAATGAAATCAGACCTTCTTCTTGAGTGTCTGATAATCTACCATTTACATAGGAGTGGTTAAAACATGCTGATAACGGTCCTCTGAGTATATCAAAAAAGGTTTGGTATACCTCGACTGGTATGCCATCCAACCCTGGAGTTTTCCCGGACTTAGTCTTTAATTGCATCCAGAAGTTCCTCCTCTGTAATTTCACCTTCACATGAGTCTCTCTGCATGGCTGTTAATTTTACATTATCAATAGAAAGAAAATCTCTACAATTTGCTTCAGTTAGAGGAGATGTAGGCGACTGAAACGAAAACAAATGCTTAAAGTACTTTGTTTCCTCCTTATAATTTGGTGAATCATGGATGACTCCGTCATTTGTAACCAGTTTCAAGAAATTATTTTTGGTAGCATTCCTATGTTGAAGTTTAAAAAAAGAATTTGGTGCATTTTCCCCCATATTCCATCCAGTTTGCTTTATTTTTATAATATATTACACTTGATCTTTCTTGAATAAGTTTCTCCATTTCTTTTTGTTTTTCATCTAATTTATTCTGAGCCTCTGTTACAGTTTTTATTGCTATCTATCTGTTCTGTTAGACCTTCTATTTCCTTTGTTAGTGTGGACTCTTTTCACCTAAATTGCTTTTGTTTTCGAGATGAGTACTGAATTGCATGGCCTCTAAAGGCACATTTAAAGGTGTCCCATACAATAAGGGGATTTGCTGTACCTGTGTTATGTCGGAAAATAATCCGTTATAAATTCCTCTGTCCTAGTTAAAAACAAGTTATCATCCAATAGGCTTTGATTACATTTCCAATATCCTCGCCCACGTGGAAATTCAGTAAGAGTAATGTATATGCCAATTATATGATGGTCCGACCGCATTCTGTCCCCTAACAACACTTTTTAAACTTTTGGTGCCAACGAAAATGACATAAGAAAGAAGTCAAGACGACTAGCTTGATTGAGTCTCCGCCATGTATATCTCACTAGATCAGGATATTTAAGCCTCCATATATCTACTAGTTCTAATGTATCCATGACATTCACGATTTCCTTAAGAGCATGAGGTTGATTGTTTGTAGTGTGATTTCCTTTACGGTCCATTGAGCTATTTAAAACGGTATTATAATCTCCCACCATAATAATAGAGTCTTGAATTGCTTGCAGAGTTGATAATTTATTATATATATTGTCAAAGAAGTGTGGATCATCATTATTTGGTCCATAAAGGTTAATGAGCCATATCTGTTTATGGTCCAATAACATATTTAAAATAATCCATCTACCTTGCGTATCTGTTTGGACAATTTGCACATTCGGATCGAAATTATTGTTCATTAATATGATCACCCCTTTTGAGTTTCTTTGCCCATGGGAGAAGTATATTTCACCCCCCCCCCCCCCCATTCCTTTTTCCACGCAACTTCATCTAGAATTGTTGAATGAGTTTCCTGTCAACAATAGATATTATATTCCTTCTCTTGGAGCCACTGACATTTACTTACAACCACAGGATTCACACAACATTAGTGTTTGAGTTTGGCAAAGTTATGTCCCTATGGAGATGAGTAGCCTACATTTTATTTCTAGACAGCAAGGGCTATTTATAATTTTAGGTGTTCTGATTTTGTGCTTTTTGATGCCTCTGGCTCCATGTAAAGTGTCAGGGTTTTATAATGTTGTTTTCTCTAGAGTTCAATCTTGTCCAATGTCCTAGACTACCATTGAACAGTAGTATTCCAGTTTTGAGGTGTCAATAATCTAGACTACAGGGTAGGACTTCGGGTGACTATGTTGTTGTAGGATGCAGATGGCAGGGTCATGGAGATCTAGGTGACCGTGGCGGATGTCTCAAACGCCAGACTCCAGCAGCTCTGCGATGTCTGTAACACTGCTGCTCTCACTGAGAGACTTGTCTGTCTGTTCCACCTGTCCTCTCTGAGCACCTTAATGTCCATATAATGTTCCCTCCCCAGGAATATGTCTGCCTTTGCTGGTACTGGTCTATTTATTTCCTCTTGCTGCCTCTCAGCTGCCTGTGACTGATGGCACCAACACGGGGAGGAGGGAAGTGAAGTGCGTCATCGTTTTTCTCCCTCCGCTGCTAAAAATAACCCAGCCCTCCAATTGCATTGGCCTGTGTTTCCACGGCGACCGTGGAAATGTAATTCACAGCTTTCTGCTGGCAGAGGAGAGGGGTGGGGGGGTCACAACGGTGTATTGAGTTAATATCTCTCTTTCTTTCCATCCCCCACTCTCACACGCTCAATCTATTCCCATACATAACTTCACATCTCTGTAGTATCTCTCCATCTATCCCTCTCTTTGTCTCCATATCTCTTTGTCAGTGTCAGTGAGAAGTTATTGTTTTATCTCTGCCTGCGTCACAATTATAAGTGTCCACAGTATCTTTACCTCATCTTCTTGGTACATAATGGAAACTGTGTGACCGCCCGAGGGCACAAAAGGAAATAACACATTCCGCCCTTCAAATCAATCATGATCTTTTCCTCCACTTACAGACTGAATCTATAAATGCTATTCTAAGAATATGGCTTTGTAAGCAAATGCCTGAATGAATTGAACAAACTCAGTGCTGAATTCGTCTAACCATCCCTACCACCCTCTGTGTGTGCAGATGACTCTGGAGACGAGGCCCCCGTGCCCCAGCCTGACCGAGCCCTGACCCAGGGGGCTCTGAAGACCCTGGCCAGTAAGCTGGACGACCTGAGCACCTGCAACGAGCTAATCGGCAAACACGGCGCCGCCCTGCAGCGATCCCTCAGCGAGCTCGAGGACCTGCGCGCAGCCACCGACGGCACTGACAAACTCAAGACTGTCAACGAGCGTGCCACACTCTTCCGCATCACCTCCAATGCTATGATCAATGTGAGGACCGACTCACTTTGCTAACACTTTGCTAACATTTCAGTACAACGCCTACTGGCTACTTCAATCGATTTTTCAGTATGACCAATGCTAGTAGTCATCCTAATGCTTTAATAAATACAACAATAAGAACTCTTAATGCCATGATCAATAGGAGTTTATTATATTTGACTGTGTGGTGTAGCTATGATCTGTAACGTTAGATGTGTCATTGATATATTGTCACCTCTGTGGCTGCCCGCTCCTCTCCTCTGTATGGTCGCAGGCCTGTCGGGACTTCCTGGACGTAGCAGAGACACACAGCCGGAGGTGGCAGAGAGCCCTGCAGTATGAGAAAGAACAGCGCCATCACCTGGAGGAGACTATTGAACAGCTAGCCAAGCAGCACAACAGCCTGGAGAGGGCCTGGAGAGAGGACCCCAGCACACACCCAGGTCAGAGGCACACACACACACAAGTCTGTTCTCTCCTCTCATATTTGATAGTGCAACTGATTAGAAAACACTATCAATGGTTTAAGCTCCTACCGTAAAGGTAGTTTGGTGCAGTTTATTGCTTGGTATGGATTGGAATCTTACAAGAAACTGGCCCTCCTCTGGTCATCCCTGGCACTGCATTCATAGTGTGACGTCGCTGGTGTATCTTTCAGAATTTCATTTATCGGAGCATATATGCACTCCGGTTTGAGAATCAGATCTAGACAAACAAAAACACCCTAACTCAAAATGTAATTATCCTGTGTACCTGGCAGATGAAGGTGAGAGGACGCAGGAAGGAGACGCCAGTGATGAGAATGAAGATACAGAGTTCTTTGATGCCATGGAGGACTCCCCTGCCTTCATCACAGTGACCGCCTCTGACCACACCCAGCACAGGTCAGTCAGGGTCACTGGGATGAAACCCTGATGAAGGAAGCTTGCTGTTGAAACGTTAGTTATTACATTTGTTGCGTCGGATTCAGAACCATGATAGTGTGTGGCTTTTCTTTCCTTTCCTCAGTCAGGGTCACTGACCTTATCTCTACTGATCATGGGGCCAAGTAGAGTTCATTCATGTAGCTATGTAATATGACGATGCTAGCATAATTCATTAGACTTTATTATGTATAATGAATTCATTTGACTGTGTTTTGTGTATATGGTAGTCATAGTGTGTTTGTGTTTCAGACGCTCCGGCAGTAACCAGAGTATCATGAGTGGAGGATTACCCAATAATGAATGGAGCCACAACGAGAATGTAAGTCTGCAGATTGATGCTTTACCACATCTTTACATACAGAGCTTTAGTAAACCATAGACAACGTTATCTTACCTTAGGGCAGGGATCATCAACTAGATTCAGTCGCGGGCTGATTTATTTTCTTGAGTGGATGGTCGGGGGGCCGGAACCGAATTACAAATAATTTGTAGACTGCAAATTAACTGCAAGAAGCCCAAACAGATATAATGTTTGACTAAAACATAATAATTTTAAACCTTGCTTACATTTGTATACGGTCTCTCTATAATGTGAGGGAATACTTTTTTTTTTTGCTCAGAATAATAAATAATAATATGCCATTTAGCAGACGCTTTTATCCAAAGCGATTTGGGGGGCCAAATAAAGCCGCCAGTTGGGGAACCCTGCCTAGGGGATGGTATGATACAATACTTTAGGATGAGATAAGATTAGTTGAGGTCTATCCTATAATACTTCAGCTTACCTAACTAACTGTGGTTGACCATGCATGTGTTCCTCAGGACTCTGGCTCCAACAACGTGCAGCTGCGTAGAGTTAGACGGAGCCGCATCCCAAACAAACCCAATTACTCCCTCAACCTGTGGAGCATCATGAAGAACTGCATTGGCAAGGAGCTGTCCAAGATCCCCATGCCTGTAAGAAAAACGAGAACTGATTATGCGGTCTGTACTAGTGTTTGCATTATGTAGTGTTTGTGTATTAAATGCAAGCTCTAACTCCAATGCGTCTGTGACCTCAGGTGAACTTCAACGAGCCCTTGTCGATGCTGCAGCGTCTGACTGAGGATCTGGAGTACAGTGACCTGCTGGACCGGGCGGCTCGCTGCGAATCGGCCCTGGAGCAGATGTGCCTGGTGGCAGCCTTCTCTGTGTCCTCCTACTCTACCACCATCCACCGCACTGCCAAGCCCTTCAACCCCCTGCTGGGGGAGACCTACGAGCTGGACCGCCTGGACGACTTCGGCTACCGCTCCATCTGCGAGCAGGTCAGATACAACACACACACCGGAACACACAGGCTCTCTCTCTCTCTGAAACACTAAGATGCACAGAGACAGACAGAATGAAGTCTAAAGCCCCAACGTCATCCTCCTCCTGCTCTCTCAGGTCAGTCACCACCCCCCAGCCGCCGCCCACCATGTGACGTCACAGCGAGGCTGGACCCTGTGGCAGGAGATCACTATCGACAGCAAGTTCAGAGGGAAATACATCTCTGTAATGCCATTAGGTGAGCCCTGCATACCCAGTACATGAATGTTCCTCCAATATGCACATACAGAAGCATGTCACATAGCTATTTCAAATCCATCTTAATTCGACATTTCTCATTTTGTATAATGCTGTTTATTTTAATTATCTTTCTCTCTAGGCTGCATCCACCTGCAGTTCCACTCCAGTGGGAATCACTATGTGTGGGGCAAAGTCACCTCCACGGTGCACAACATCATAGTGGGCAAACTGTGGATTGACCAGGTGAGTGTCTCACATATTTAATGTGTGTTTGTATATTTGTGTACAGTCCGTTTGTCCCTATTGTTTGTATACAGATATAGGATCAAATAAATTAAAATAATCCTGCAGCAACAGGATTTGAACATTTAGTCCTTAATGTTACTTGATCGGTGGTTAGGCTATTAGCTGGCCAAAAGTAGGCTACATGAAAAGTGCAATACTGTTAATGTAACCGTGTGGGGTTTTCAGTGAATTTATATAAATCACAATGTTCTTCTGCATTTCCTGCGGCGCAGGACAATTCTCAGCAACAAAACAGTGATCAAATGAAGATCCTACATCTGTATGTGTGCGGCACAGGAGGTTGGGGGCACCTTAATTGGAGAGGACGGGTTCGCAGTAATGGCTGGAGCGGAATAATTGCAATGGAAACCATGTGTTTGATGCCATTCCATTCGCTCCATTCCGGCCATTATTATGAGCCGTCCTCCCCTCAGAAGCCTCCTGTGGTGTGCAGTGTTGTGCAGAATCTGCTTCACTCTGCTCTCTCTCATTATGTCTGCGTGAATCATCAGGTCTCCATGTTTGCCAAAAACACAATCCAATCTGTTTTCCAAAGCTAATTTCCCCCAGGAGAATCATCAGCCTGAGTCGTGGGATAAATAGCCTGTGTTTTTCTCTCTGTAGTCTGGGGACATTGAAATAGTCAACCACAGGACCAAGGACACCTGCCACCTCAAGTTTGTCCCTTACAGTTATTTCTCCAGAGACCTCTCACGCAAGGTAACTATATGGTTTCCCCTGTGCCCTCTGGGTCTCTGTACTGCATGCAGACTGTTTGAAAAAACTGATCTGGAAACAGTGGCAGTCCTTCCCACATCCTCAATGTCTCCTCCCTCCTCTGGTGTTGACTCCAGGTGACAGGGGTGGTAGCAGACAGCGAGGGCACGGCCCATCACATCCTGTCTGGGACCTGGGACGACAAGATGGAGAGCGCCAAGATAGTGGAGAGTAGCCGGGGATGTGGAGGGTCAGAGGGCAAACAGAAGACCGTCTACCAGACCCTCCAGCCCAAACTGCTGTGGAAGAAATACCCACTCCCGTAAGATCAGCCTGCCTGCATATTATGAAGTCAGCCTTATTTATACAATCATTTTGATTCCTCTCCTCCTCTTGCATCCTTGCACCTCTTCTTACTCCCACCTCACTACCTGTCGCTACTAGCCCTTTCCCTCTCTATCCATCCTATCTATCTGTCTCACCTCAGTGTCTTCTCTCCTCCACTCCCCAGGGAGAATGCTGAGAACATGCACTTCTTCTCCTCCCTGGCCCTGACCCTGAACGAGCCCGAGGAGGGCGTGGCCCCCACTGACAGCCGCCTGAGGCCGGACCAACGGCTGATGGAGGCGGGGCTGTGGGACGAGGCCAACGCCCACAAACAGCGTTTGGAGGAACGACAGAGGCTGGAGAGGAGGAAGAGGGAGGCACAGGCCACACAGGTTCTGGAAGAAGGTGAGGAGGGGAGTGAAAGGACTAGATAAAAGACATCTCAAGAGAGATTACAGTATAGAAATTAGGAAGCGAAAGTTGACAATTGCAATACAGTGTATGTCAGCAAGATGTTACCCATATTGAGGAACATCTGTGTATGTTTGTGTCTCTGACTCCTTAGGCCAAGACATCGAGGGCTTCCAGCCACTGTGGTTCGAGAGGAGGACAGATGATTCAACGGGGGAGAGCACTTACGTGTACAGGGGTGGATACTGGGAGGCCAAAGACAGACAGGACTGGAGCCAATGCCCTGAGATCTTCTAAGGCTCCACCCCTGGGACTGTGACATCATCACTGGAGGGCAGAGCTGAAGGACTGATGGACAAGCAGAGGGAGGGGTCCACATGCTGCAAACACATGGACATGTGGACAGCTCTTTGTCCATGTGTGTGTATTTGTGTGTTCGAGAAAGACAGAGCCCTCCATGCCAAACTTCAAGAACATTATGTCCCCCTCACCGACCAGTGTGTTTCCCAAGCATGGCCTTGTGTGTGTGTGTGTGTGTGTGTGTGTGTGCAACAGTGAGTTTGAGAGACATAACTATTTGAGATATTTTGATTAAGAGTTACAAAATAGAGCTATTGCCAGTGGTGGAAAAAGTACCCAAATGTCTTACTTGAGTAAAAGTAAAGATACCTTAATAGAAAATGACTCAAGTAAAAGTGAAAGTCACCCAGTAAAATACTAGTTGAGTAAAAGTTTTAAATATACTTAAGTATCAAAAGTAAAAGTATAAATAATTTCAAATTCCCTATATTAAGCAAACCAGAAGGCACAATTTTCATTTTGTATTTATTTATGGATAGCCAGGGGCACACTCAGACATAATTTACAAATGAAGCATGTGTTTAGTGAGTCCGCCAGATTAGAGGCAGTAGGGATGACCAGGGATGTTCTTTTGATAAGTGTGTGAATTGGACCATTTTCCTGTCCTGCTAAGCATTTTCTTTAGGAATGTAGTGAAGTAAAAGTAAAAGTAGTCAAAAATATAAAAAGTAAAGTACAGATACCCCCAAAAACGACTTAAGTAGTACTTATTTTTACTTAAGTACTTTACACCACTGGCTATTGCATGGAAACCCATATTTAGTTGAGGTGATATGTCTAGTGGTGCCTGGTGCCCCATTGATCTGGTAATAAGGTAATAACTACCATAAGTTTATAATATTATAGAATAATATTGGGACAGTTGTATGGATAAGGGGGAGGAAAGGGGTAAAGTGAAAGAGGTTGTGTTTGGTTCAAGGAAAGGATGTCCTGTTCCACTCTGAGCTGGTTAGGAACTGTGATCCTCCTGCTGGAGATATAGAGGCCTGTATTCATGTTGCACCGTGACTGTGTTCTCAAGAACAACTACCCGGCCATGTCAGCTCACCCAAGTTTGCGTAACTGAACGGTTATGAAACAAAAAGCTGCACATAGAAATAGTGTAACCAGAACGGACATGGCTCTCTACTCCAAGGATCTCCCATATACACTGAGTGTACAAAACATTAGGAACACCTTCCTAATATTGAGTTGCACCTTCTTCTGCCCTCAGAACAGCCTCAATTCGTCGGGGCATGGACTACAATGTGTCAAGCGTTCCACAGGGATACTGGCCGATGTTGACTCCAATGCTTCCCACAGTCGAGTCAAGTTGGCTGGATGTCCTTTGGGTGGTGGACCATTCTTGATACACACGGAAAACTGTTAAGCATGAAAAACCCAGCAGCATTGCAGTTCTTGACACACGCAAACCGGTGCGCCTGGCACCTACTACCATACCCTGTTCAAAGGCACTTAAATATTTTGTCTTGCCCATTCACCCTCTGAATGGCACACGTACACAAACGATGTCTCAATTTTCTCAAGGCTTAAAAATCCTTCTTTAACCTGTCTCCTCCCCTTCCATCTACACTGATTGAAGTGGATTTAGCAGGTGACAGCAATAAGGGATCAAAGCTTTCACCTAGATTCCGTGTCATGGAAAGAGCACCCAGTGTACTTTACATATCTATATGTAACATTATGCATATCTATATGTAACATTGTGCAGTGGCAGTGTTTCTAGGCACTCCCCAGATTTGTAACAAACAGTGCTTTTCTGCAGTGCATGAAAACACCCATGTAGTGGACACTGGTATCACTGGGCACTTTTGGTCTGTACAAACCTCATCAAGGAAACCCAGAACTAAAGTCTTTACCAGTTATGTTACATGCGTCTGTCCATGAGCGATTAGTACAGACCAAAAACGGTGGGGGAATTTTGAGTATGTAAGAAGCTACCCACGATTATGATTTTGTTCAAGTGTCTTGATTTCTCAAATGTTGGTGATGGATGCATTATGTACAGACAAAATGTTAAATCTTAACAAAATTGGTTAATGATTCCACCCTGTGCAATGAAATGTTTCAACGTCTTATATATTTTTTTAAATATTAAGAAATCGTATGAATTATACTATAGAATGTGTAATGTTGAGTTTCACAGTGCAACTGAGGTGTGTACTTCAATTATTACACATCTTTGTGTTTGACTGCAGGCATTTAAACATGCACCATCAATTAACTCAAACGAGTGTTGTGGCACCACGTGTAGCTAATGCATGGTTTAGTGTGCTCATGCACTGTTGCCTAGTATTAATTAGGCATTAGCATCAATAGTTGTTTCTAGACTTCATTCACAGAAGAACATCGTGTGAATTCACCTCTTGTGCCCTAGGTCCTCGAAAATGGACTTTTTTGCTTGAATAAACACAAACCGTCTCAATGTGGTCTTTCAAAACACCCACAGTGTTATCAGAGATGGTCTATAATGTTGTAACCAGCTTTGGTGTCATGCAGTTCTCAACTCAAGACATAGATGATAAATAAATTTGACAAGTTGAAGACTCAAAAGCCAAGAGGAGATTTCCCCTGGGACAGTCTGTCTGATCTTGGCTGGTTGGATGGATGCCCTGGGGTCTCATGATGGGGTAGGGAAAGGACACTGAGGGCTGCACACCACATTACTCGTTTGATGTCATCTTGCCTCTAGCACACAAATATGTATTCAAGGTACCACTCAATAAAAGCAATTCAATCTAATTATGTGCACTTTATTGGCTTGCCAGATTTGTAATCATGATTAATGTTAGTCTTCAACTGACCTCTGAACCTGAGGATGAAAAAACGTTTTGTTTTTCATGTTGCTGCAATTGCACTTATATCCAGCAGGTGCCGCTATAGTGTACATTGTAATATTGCTGATGTAATGCGTGTCCACCTAAAATAAGAAAAAGCATGATTCTGACATGGGGCTTGAATTGTCAAATGCCATGTAAGTGTTCAAGTATACTATGGCGTGAAAGCAGATTGGTGTGGCTACAAGTAGTATTCAGGTAGTCTAATAATTCAAATACAATTATTCATGAGTTAGGCTACAGATATGATTAGAAAAATGAAAATGCAAGTGTATTGCAAACAGTGAATAGGTAATTTCCTTGTTCTTCACCTGATACCCTGATTTGAAATATCCTAAGATGTTATATACAGTTGAAGTCAGAAGTTTACATACACTTAGGTTGGAGTCATTAAAACTCATTTTTCAACCACTCCACAAATTTCATGTTAACAAACTATAGTTTTGGCAAGTCGGTTAGGACATCTACTTTGTGCATGACACAAGTAATTTTTCCAACAATTGTTTACAGACAGATTATTTCACTGTATCACAATTCCAGTGGGTCAGAAGTTAACATACACTAAGTAGACTGTGCCTTTAAACAGCTTGGAAAATTCCAGAAAATGATGTCATGGCTTTAGAAGCTTCTGATAGGCTAATTGACATCATTTGAGTCAATTGGAGGTGTACCTTCAAACTCAGTGCCTCTTTGCTTGACATCATGGGAAAATCAAAAGAAATCAGCCAAGACCTCAGAAAAAAATTAAGCCTAAAATAAAAAAGCCAGACTACGGTTTGTAACTGCACATGGGGACAAAGATCGTACTTTTTGGAGAAATGTCCTCTGGTCTGATGAAACAAAAATTGAACTGTTTGGCCATAATGACCATCGTTATGTTTGGAGGAAAAAGGGGGTGGCATGCAAGCCGAAGAAAACCATCCCAACCGTGAAGCACGGGGGTGGCAGCATCATGCTGTGGGGGTGCTTTGCTGCAGGAGGGTCTGGTGCACTTCTCAAAATAGATGGCATCATGAGGAAGGAAAATTATGTGTATATATTGAAGCAACATCTCAAGACATCAGTCAGGAAGTTAAAGCTTGGTCGCAAATGGGTCTTCCAAATGGACAATGACCCCAAGCATACTTCCAAAGTTGTGGTAAAATGGCTTAAGGACAACAAAGTCAAGGTATTGGAGTGGCCATCACAAAGCCCTGACCTCAATCCTATAGAAAATGTGTGGGCAGAACTGAAAAAGCATGTGCGAGCAAGGAGGCCTACAAACCTGACTCAGTTACACCAGCTCTGTCAGGAGGAATGGGCCAAAATTCACCCAATGTATTGTGGGAAGCTTGTGGAAGGCTACCCGAAAAGTTTGACCCAAGTTACACAATTTAAAGGCAATGCTACCAAATACTAATTGAGTGTATGTAAACTTCTGACCCACTGGGAATGTGATGAAAGAAATAAAAGCTGAAATAAATCATTCTCTCTACTATTATTCTGACATCTCACATTCTTAAAATAAAGTGGTGATCCTAACTGACGTAAAGACAGGGACTTTTTACTAGGATTAAATGTCAGGAATTGTGAAAAACTGAGTTTAAATGTATTTGGCTAAGGTGTATGTAAACTTCCGACTTCAACTGTAATTAATATGGCACAGAATTTAGGATTACATAATCTAGGATAACCTTAGAGAATGGAATACCCTAGTGTCCGTATGTGTTCTTATAAAATATCATTTTGGAATTAAGCGTTACAATAATATCTGAACAAATGTGAAAGTTTGCACAGTTTGTTGCTGATCAGTCAACGTACAGTCCTTTTGGCTGTCTTAAGGAGGTGGTAATAGTGCTCACTGGCTAGATAACATCTGTACTCTATTCTACACTGAGAACAGCATGTTCCAAACTGAGGCAGAGTGTCATGCATTCCAGCTGAGTTTATATTTGTTACTAGGGGGTGGGAGAGCAAGGTGGGGTGGTAAAGGGGGGAACAATCTCTCACTGTGATTTCTGTCCCATGTGCTATATTTGCATTGGTGGAATGTTTGTTTTTTAATACAGTCAGTAGATCAACATTTGTTCACTGTGTACATTGAGTGCTCTGTTTAGGTTA